TAGAGGGTGTGCATTTATGGAGGTAATTTTATTAAGAGTTCTATGTACTTGGGACCAAGCTTGACCGTGCATTTAGAAAGAGAAAATATAGTAAGTGCATTTATAGAAGATGCATTTAGGGAGGTCTCTCTGTATATTTATATTATTTTATATATTTGTTTTATAACTTGTATATAAAGTTTCAAACTAAATACTAAAATAATATTGATTTGATACTAACTTATAATAAATTTAATATATGGATTATAACTTATTATATTAAATTCATAATAAATTCAATATGGATTTAACATTAAAATAATATTATTAAAAATCTTATTTGTGCATTTGATTGTAAAGCAATATTTGTTTAATATATATTTAATTTTTTTAATTAAAAAATATTATTAAAAATTTTTTAAAAAAAATAAATTGATTTAAGTTTTTAAAATAAAAGGAAATTTTTTACAATATATAAAATATAATATAATATAAATTGTATCTATTTTGTTTTATTTATTTTTTTTATTTAAAATTAAAAAGAAAAACTTTAATATCTTTTTGATTTTGTATTAATATACAAAATTATTTAATTTAATAAATATGATCTAATTAGTATAAAATTTTATTGATATTTAAGAAGATGTCTTAATTTAATATATCATTTTATAAGATTAATACTGGGGGTTTTTTTTTTAATCTTATTGTACATTATTTATTTTGTCTTTTATTTTTTTTTTATAAAGTTTAACTTTTTTTAAAAATAAGAAATAAAAAAAAACAAGAAATTTTATTAGTTTTAAAGCAAAAATTATTTGTTTTATTTAAAGAAAATATTATTTGCTTGCTATTTTTGATATTTTTTGATATTTTAAAAGTTGAATAAATGTTTTGACCTTTTTTTCTAATAATTTTTTAAAAAATATATTTTTAATTTTAATATTATATATATTATCTGAATTTTCAATATCTTTTTTTAATAGCATAAGATTTTTTATATATTGAAATAAATCATTATATAATTGTAAATCAATAAAAATATATAATTTATTTTGCTAATAATGTAATTTCAAGTGAATTATAATATTTAGAATCTATTTATAAGTGAACTTGTTAATTTTTCTAACATGTAGTTAGCTTGGCTAATTTTTAAAAAAAGAAATAAAAAAAAAAATCAAATTAATTTTATTTAAATAATTTAATTTTTTTTTTTGATTTTATTTATTTATCTTATTATCTAAATTTTATTGTTTAATTTTATTTATTATTATATTTATTTTGTTATCTAAATTCTATTAATTAATTATTTTATTTTATTACTTAAATTTATTAATTTGTTTTTTAAATTAGTTTAATTTTGTTATTTAAATTTATTATGTAAATTTATTAACTTTGTTATTTTATAATTTATATTTACTAACTTTGTTTAAATACAACTCAAAATGTTCAAATTTAAATCTAATCTCCGATATTCAAACTTTGCTATTTTTCTGACTTTATATTTACGGCCTATGATTTCCGAATTTTATATATGCCGGTAAAATAATCCGGAAATTTCACACGAAAACAATGCATGTATACCGCAAGAATATGTACGGAGAACAGCCACCCTGACACTTATTTTTGGTAATAAATCTCTGCTCCATATGGCTATGAAGGAATTCTATTTTATTAAGTAAATTGACATTTGACAAAATTTTGGTGACAATATGATATTAACAATATTCTTAATATAGCAAAAAATCTATTTGCTATATTAAAGAGAAAATACTATTTGTAAACCAAACCTAAAGACCTAAATTTAAATCTAAACTTAACAATTTTTGTGCCTATCTAAGACTTCCAGTGAAACCTTAATAATAGCACATCAGTTAATTGATTAATTTTCTTGTAGTTGATCTATTATCTTTTTAAATGCTCATATCTTGTGAAATCTAATTATCGTTTAAAGATTCCGGATATTTCGTAAATTCATTCTTTCTAGTATCGAGGTTAGGTTGTTTACCGTAAATTGGTTCACGAATTTCTTTATAAAAATGAAATTAATACACGTTAGAATATAGTTATGAAAAAAAAAAATTAAAACAAAGAATACTTACTCAAAATGTTATTGTAAATTTCGCTAACATTCTTGTCCCATATCTCACGGAAGAATGAAGCCCCGCGTAATTTCAAACGATATTTTTCCGCAAAATCGTGAGTCGTCTTATATTGATTTATATCATCTACATTGATTCTTCCATAAGGTTGTTCGTATATACCTAAGGCGTATCGATGATATCTAGTTCCTTTAGGAGGATGTGGTGGTATGTATGATACAATAGTTTCTCCACCGGAAATGTCGGTTTTCGTAGCTTTAAGAGGGATATTAACGCTATCCGAAGATTGATGCAACAATAAATAATTGACAATAAAAACGAGTGATCATATGTATAATGTTAAACGTACATTAACCAGTGCCATTCAATTTGAAAAGTTTTTTGCTCCACGTTCGGCATATCTGATTAAATTAATTTAATGAATTAAGCGAAAACCTCATACATATACACGTAAACAAACACATACCAGGGTTAACCATAACGAACGTGTAAAGCCGGTTATCTTCATGAAAATTATCTAAGATCACGGTTGGAGGATTGATAGTCTTCATGAAGGGTTAATTCTGACCTTCAGTAATGAGTTCTAAATAAACTACAAATGCACAAGAGAAATGTAAAATAAAGATTTACATTTATAGGTAGCTGAAAAGCTCCAGGTTCTCCTACTTCGTCACCGTATCTAAACTGAAGGTTTATCGTAGGATCCACCAACTCTGGGAACACATCAGGTATAACATACATTTGGGATACGCGTTCCATCTAAAAATCAAACATGAAATATGAAAAGATTGACGCAAATATATATACATATATATTGTATAAATATATTACCAAATGTTGGAGATAACCATTCTTCCATTTTTTTTCTTGTAAAAATCGATAAACTGGTTTTGACATATCAACTAAAAGATGATAAAGCGTTATTCCGCGTTTACAAAATATAATAAGTTCTATGCATACCACCTACTTTTCCCATGTTCGAAATTCCATCTAACTTCAGGATCATTCGCCTCAGCTCGAATTTCTAAAATGCGTTTTTCTTTTTCAAGTTCGCTTACGGTCTTATCAGTAATGGGGTGTCCATCTGTATTAAAATCACGACATGAATATATATTAATACGATTGAAACTTGATAACAAAATATTACCTCATAACTGACTTTGTAAGATTTGTTTTATCTTTGCCTCAAGCTCTTTTATCTGGCGATATTTGTTTTCTTTGTCTTCGAAAATATATTTAAGTGCCTCATCATAGGCGGGGTTGACTCCTAATGCAGGTGGTCTGTATTCGGGGACCACAGGTTGAACGATCGAATGTTCTTTCGGAGGTTTTTGTGTAGGTTGATTAGTTTTCAGGAAACGTATACCGGCATAAGATAAAGGAAGCTTTTCATGTTTTTTTAAAAATGCACATTCAGCATATTAAATATGCAAAAGGAGACGTCGACTAAAACTTACTGCATGGGGCTTTATCATTCGTGTTGATGATATACAAAATGTGTAAGCGGAGGCAACGAACGGTGATGAGAATAATGTTAAACGTTGAATACACATTTTGAAATTGAAAGA